TATATATATATATATATATATATATATATATATATATATATATATATTTATGTATTCAGTGTTGTTCTTTCATGGTTCCATACGTTTCCTGCTGTGTGGAGAAACATGTGAAACCGACACTAAAGAATAATAATTGTAGATCAGTTGCATTATTACGAATCTGAAAACATAATATTTATTGTTTTGCATGTTTCAGTCATGAGCGACAGCAGCGACGACGACGACGTCCCGGCGCTGTCGGCTGAAGCTCTCTCCGCTCTGCAGGAGTTCTACAGCGAGACGAGCAGCTCGACGCCCGCGGACCGCTTCTCTGTGGGAGCCGTGCAGGAGGACTGGGTGAGCAGATATAAACACATATGTTTTATTAATGTACACAGATTTATTGTGTTTATGGACACGATGGTGTCATTTTGAGGTACTTGTACTTTACTTGGTATTCTGCTACTTTCTACTTCTCAGAGGTAAAACGCTTTAGTTACTTTATAGATTCAAGTTATTAATACAAAATATAAATCAACTAATAACGCATGATGTAGAACTAAAGGTGAAGCTGCAGTTTGTTAGGTGAACCCAGGTCTTTAGTTCGTTTTAAATAAGGAATTAGAGATTCTAAATGATTTAGTTTTTGTAAAATAAAGGCTCTTTGTTCCTTTTGTCACAACACGCATGAAACAACAAATCATCTTTTCTGAGGACTTTTTGTTGTGAACTAAATCTTTTTTAATCAGAAAGTGGTGTACTCAACTAAAAGTCCAAATTTATTTTATTTTATTATTTTTACAATTATTATTGTTAAGTCTTATTGTTTTATATTATTGAAAATGAAATATTTTTGTTTTGTCGGTCAGACAAAAGGAAACGTGAAGACGTCACATAATCAAAACAATCCACAGATTAACTCACAGTGAATGTAACAAACAAGGCTTTAAAAAATAAATCTTCATTTCTAAAATTTAAAAAATGTCAGGAGTGTCATCAGATTAATAATATTGTTTGTAGGTTTAAATGTTTAAATGTCAGCGAATTAAAGGAGTGTGTTCTGTGCAGAAGTAGAAACGTGCAGCATCAGATGTCGCTGATGTGTTTGCTTGTGTTTGTTACACTGTTTTTAATGTTTCAATGAATGTTCTTAATTGTTTTTAAATCTCCTTTTCTTTGTCTTATGTTTTGATGCTTTTAATGGTTTTATGTGAAGCATAATAATAATGTTGAAATGTGTGATACAAATAAAGTTGCCTTTGTGTCTCCAGAGGATGAGTCAGTTCTGGTACAGTGACGAGACGGCGACTCGGTTGGCTGAGGAGGTCGTACGAGAAGCTGG